TGTAATGAGGAGAGTTTTTGTATTTGAATCTTTGATGTAGAGAAAGTACTTAATGAACAGTGTGCATCTTAAAGAATTTTTCAGTAACTGTGATAGAAACCCCACATTTATATATTGGCAATTTAAGCTGCAGACTGGCAAGAAGAAGGGGAAGTGGAAAGCCATCAGAGACACATTCACAGGAAAAGTGAGGCAAATGGAGCATCTAACGCAGCTTTAGGTTTAACCCCGAGAGAGCACTGAATATTCAGCACCGTAATGGAAATAGACCCCCCTTCCTAAATGGTAGGTACTGTGGTATCCAGTCAGGCAGAAGGTCATGGCAGAGAAGAAACTGACCACAGCTGAGTCATTGGCAACCGGGAGGCAGTAAGTCTGGTTTGGGGGCATCAGCGACATGTACTCGATACCTCCTTCAGGAGCGCCACCTGCATTTCTCCTTTTTGCTTCTCTGCGGGTGCACTGACTATTTCCCTTCTGTTTGTGCAGTGTTAGTCTGGGAAATAACTACTCTTCCCGGTCTACTCCATCTCAGTAAATGTCAGCTTCATCCTCAGTCTCTTAGGTTAAAAACCATGGAGTCGTCATCTCTTCCCTTCACATTCACGTCAATCCATCAGAAAATCCTGTTGGGTCTACCCTGTTGGGTCTACCTCCAAATATGGACAGAGTTCAACGAATTCCTATCACTTCCATTGCTCGGTCCTGGGCTGTCGGAGGAGCCTCCAGAGAGTCTCTCTGGCTTGTTCCGCTACTGCCCGCTCTCAACCTAGCAACTCTTGCCCCCAGGACTCTCAGAGTCAAAGCCAAAGTCCTTGGAGTCACCTGCATGATCCACCCCCTTACCCTGTTGTGCTTAGCTGTGTGAATCCATCTCCTCCACCTTTCCTCTCACCTGCTCTGCTCCTGCCACACTCCCCTCCTTGATATTCCTCAAACAGGCATGCACCCCCCCCCCACTCAGGGCTTCTGGACCTGCTGTTCCCTCCACTTGGATTCCTGTTCCCCAGAGGTTGCCACTACTTCCTTCCTCGCCATCAGCTATTGCTCACAGTGAAACCTTTCCTGCTTTGTTTTTCTCTATCTCTTGTCATATCTGACATCCTTCCTCATTTACACTTTGGTCTCTCTATCCCCATCATAGAATATAAGAATTTCACCTGTTTTGTTCCCTGCTGCATTGCCGGTACATATTTTGTGCTCAGTCAATATTCCTTAGTCAGTATCAGTTGATGGATTGAATGAGTCCAAATAAATAAGCCACAGGACTCCAATTCTGGACATGGAACTAGATCCCATTCATTCCCTCATGTCAAACCAGGATGAGATGAGAGTGGGTTAGCTGTAAGAGTGAACATTTACTTCTTACAGTCGGTTGGTTTATCTCAGATGCAGGGCAGGTGTCAGCCTGAATATAGGGATCTTCAGTGGATCCAGGAGACCTGGTCTTGGACAACAGAGGCTGGGAGGGTATGGAGAATGAGAGGTGAGAAGTCCCATTCTCAGTCACACCTGTGCTCAGGACCCGTGTACTGCTCCAGGCTCATTATTACCATTTGGTCTCAGATTGAAGTTTCTGTGGGATCGTGTTTTAGTGCAGTGATAGACCAGGGACACCACCTATAGGTGACACTCACATTCCAAAAGACAAGATGTTTTTAATTACACTAAAATAGAGTACCTCACCCTGTCTAAGCTGACGTTTTTGTCTTTTCGGTTGAAATGTCAGAATTATACCATTTTAGGTGTCGAAAGAACAATATAAAATGAGAAAAACACCAAGTGTAAGATTTTTGTTCTGACTTGTTAATACTGTATTCAGATATGTGAATTATGTCAATTCAATTCGCCATGATAATTAACAAGGTTCCAGAATGAGACAATTATAAGAGAATAAAAAGATAATTTGAGTGATTTCACTTCATCGTGTGACTCTGGCTAAGTGGTAGAACGGCATTGATTTCCCCAGTGCTTGAATGAGTCTGTTTCATTAGGAGTTCTAGTTCGCTGGTAAAGAGAGGCCCAGTCACCCAAAGGTCAGAGAACCAGGACTTCTCTCTGCATGTCTGATTTGCTGATGTTTTACCTTTTCAGTCTTTCGTGTTCAATCTCTTCCTTTTCCATTGTGCGACCATTGGGGGAGGGGGCTTTTTAGTTCCATAGCGATGGTGATGGAGAGATTGCCTCTGGTGTCTGATTGCCCTGGGTTCAAATTTCAGCTCAGCCACGTTTACCATCTGTATGAGTGGCCCAGGGCTGCCCTAACAAAGTACCACAAACCAAGACGCTCAAAACAACAGAAATTTACTCTCTCACAGTTCAGGAGGCCAGAAGTTCAAAATCAAGGTGTCAGCAGGGCCATGCCCCTCTGAGACTGGTGGAATCCTTCTTTGCCTCTTTCTAGCTTCTGATGGTACCCCGCAATCCTTGCTGTTCCTTCCTTTACAGCCACATCTCTCTACTCTCTGTCTCTGTTGTCGCCTGACATTTTTTTGAGTGTCTCTGTCTTCATATGGCATTATCCTCTTCAAATAAGGACACCAGTCGTACTGGATTAGGGCCCACTCTGATGACCTCATCCGAACTGCATTACATCTGCAAAGACCCTATTTCCAAATGAGGTCACATTCACTTTTCTTTTGAGGGGACACAATTCAACCCATAACACCATCTGTGTGGACTTGAACAAGTGACTTAGTTTCTGTGACCATCCGGTTTTTCACTATTAAAAGAAGATTATCATACAGACCTCCTACATCTGTGAGGAGCCTAGGAAGCGACATCTGAAACATTCCTGCTCTCATTCAATGCTCGAGAAATGTTACTTCTCATCCCCCTAGCCCAATTTCCTGGCCTCCCACCGTTTATTTGTACTTGCTCCATACAAAGGCAATCCAGCAGACTCCATGGAACATGCAAAGTTGACTCCATGCCCTGGGGAAGCTCACACACTTTGAGGACAGATAGGAAGTAAACTAGTATTTATGATACAACATAGAATTTGTGTCACATCTAGAGAAACACAAACATGCAGTACTGAGAGAGGGGAGAATTACCTGCTGAGTGGCTTGCCAAGGGCCTCATGGCAAATTTGCTGCAAAGTTGGAACCTGAAGCTGTGTTTGGATCCCTAATCCAGGTCCTTTCCTATTCGAAGACATTGTACAGTTTGCCACCTTTGAACCACTCAAACATTATAAAACATAATCCCTGTTTGCTCACCGATGCACTGAGGCCATGCACCAGCATCTTTTGGGGATGCCCATAACCTTTTAGGCAGTCCACCCCACTGCCCCCTGCACACTTTACTCCCAGTTCCTGACCCTCCACACACACATACTCCATTACACCCATTTGGTCTGCGCTGTTCTACCCTGGAAATACCTTTTTTTTTACTGCAGCAACTACAATATGACCAGTAAAAACAAATAGATACCAACTTGTGCCTGCTGGGTAGGAAATCACAATCTTGCCTCTTATAACCAAGAGTGAAATCACTGAATACTTCAGTCACCATAGATCATTTCAGTCCATTCGGTGTGATCAAAATGATGAGCAAGATTTTTCATATCCTCGCCTCCGGCACTACAATTTCATGTTCAGTCTCTGTTACTTGCTATTTTTACACCCTCCTGTACCCTGAGTTTGATACGTGAGCAAAAATCTATATATGAGAAGGAAGGGTTGTTGCTGATGCTGATGTATTTATTTTGTCTGACTCATGGCTAGCAAGATTATGACAGCTCTCAATCCAGGAAAAATAATATGCTAAATTTTCAGTGACAATGCTAAGGATTTAAGAAAGGAAATAAATGTCTGCTACTGAAAAAGTCAACAAGGTATATTTTCTCAGTCTATGTTATTCGCCCACAGTTACTGCTGCATTGGCCCACGTGCCGGGCACCACATTTCTCTGCAGCACTTGCAGAAATAAAGAAGTGTGTGTAAATCCGGTGTGGCTGTCAGTGGGACATGTCCAGTACTCTCAGTGGTTGCTCGGAGGGAGGGTGGAAAATAAAGATGTGCAGGCAATGCACTTCCTTCCTTCATTGCCCTAAGTAAACAAGGAATTCATTTTAGAAGGTGCCAAATGTGCTGCAACAAACTTTAGATGAAAAGCTAAGATATTTTACAGGAAACTTAGGTGATTTAACTTTTGATGTTGAGTTCCCAGAGCAGCCCAACGTGAGAACCGTAAACACACAATGCAACCAGACAGAGCTGCATAGACCTTTGCTGTTTCCTTCTTTTACTCCTTTCTCTCCCCCTCCTCCTCCTCTTTCTTCTCCTTCTAATGCGGTTTTGCTTATATGTCAGGTTAAATACATAAGTGTAAAGGGAAATTTGACGCAGATTTTTTAAAATGAGTGATGTAATTTTGAAAGGCATGTTTTAAAAATCCATAGGAAACCATTATGTTGCCATGAATATCAGCTAGGGAATGGAAGTTAATTATTCAGAGAAATTTTCCAAAAAAGTAAAATTTCCTTCTAGAAGATTTAAAATACTCAATGTCTAATATATGAGGAGGAAGCTGCTCTGCCTCCACTTGAGCAAAACTTATGGATATTTTTATATTTGTTATAGATTCTAACTCATCTAGATTCACTCTCACATGGTAATAAAGAATGCTGTAATTTGTTAAAAGGTGTATTTTTAAGAGCATTCTAAGTATTTAAATGTAAACTAATAGATTTTCTTTCTCTTCAAAGTTTCTTTTGATAAACGGTTTGCATCACACCATGACAGTGTTAAACATACGTTAAAGGATTGAAAAATATATTTGACTCATTTTTAAAATAATTTCTCCTGTACAAGATAATGGTTGTTTCACAGTTGTACAATGTTAAATGCACAATGGATGGAGATTTGGTGACTCGCGGGATAAAGTGAGACTGGAGGAAAATTTAAGAAACAGTGTAAAAAAGATGACCTTGTGGACTATAATCATTTGCTTGACAAATTCAGTCATGGCTTCTGTGTCCCTGCTGCTTTTCACAGGTATAAACCACTGGCCGATACACTCCGGGGTGAGAAGAAGAAACTGTCTGCCGAGGAGAAATGTCGACTTGTCCTCCAGCAGTGTAAATTACAAGGCTGGCAGGTTAGTGACCTACGGGCTACGAACAGACCGGGTTAGGATTTTAGGTAAGTGGCTGAGTCATTGTGGGGAGCCGCCAGTCTCCCTGGCAAAAACAGATTGCTTTGATGTGTTTGGCAGGGTGAGACACTGAGTGTTCTCCCTGGAAACACATCAGTCTTTCTAATTTACTGGCTTTAGGAGCGTACAGCTAACAGGTGAGGGAAGCCATGGCTCCTTTCACGGTGCTGACGAAAATCCTGAAGGGGCATTCAGTTTTCCCATGTCTCAGATTCAACTTTGTCATAAAGCTTTTTGAAGTATCTGAAAGGTAGCTGATGTCAGAGAAACCAAAATATGAGGACTGAGCGTTGATTTCTTGGCTCCTAGCTAGATCGCACACGTGTTCCCAGACTAGGACTTCCCGGGCCCGCCACGTCTTGTTTAGGCCCCTTTTTCTGTTTCTCTTTTGCTTCTCTCCTACCACACACTGAAAATGTCACTGTGCTTTCAACCTCATTCAATGGCAAAAGCTTCATAATTGGAAACGTTGAATTACGTTCTGTGATCTTCTTGGTTAGCAGAGTCCAGGGACCCACCCGAGGGATAGCGGGACTTCCAGAAGGAAGAAGTAACACAAGACAAATCACAAGGGAGATAAATGCTCCCCACAAACAGTGGGGCGCAGTTGTGGATTTTGTTTATTACCTCAAACAACATCAGAACGCCCTCTGAGACTAGTGTTAGGAAGAGGAGATTTGAAACTTAAAAGAATTGAGAAGGTAATCTTGGAACAATAATGAGAAACAATGAAGTCCACAACACCAGGAATTATTGGAAGTGTCTACCTATAAAACAACCAAAAGGCAGCAAAGAGCATGGTGGCTTATAGCTTTGGCAAGACAGAATAATTACTGGAAAGCAGACGTGAATCTTATTTTAAAAAATGATAGGGAGAACATCTGTAAGTGAAAATGTATGACAATTGGAGAGGCCAAAAACAAGGGCTTCACGTCAGAAATGACACAAACAGAATGTTCAGAATTGCTGAATCTGTCTGAAAGTGGCCCAATCTAGATGACACAGGTAGAGAATACTGGATTGACACTAGCTCGCTCATCCTTTTTGACAGAGAACTAAAAACGTAGAATTTCAGCATTGATGAGTAATGATTTAATTGTCTGTGCCACCCAATCTCTTTCTTTATTATCTTTTCCCCCTTTTCTTTCTTTTTTTTTCTTTAACTAATAATGGAGTTGAACTTTAAGTAACAGTCTGAAGGAGGAGGCTCCCACAGTCTGTGTGGTCATGGATGCACATCCGTGCTGAAAGATTGGATAAAAAAAGAAGGAAGAAGGAGGAATTACTAACTCAGAATGATGTCAGCTAACCACTCTCGGTCAGTGACATAAGATGTAGGTTCACGTATAGAACTGTTAATCGAGCTTGTAGGTAACCGAAGTCATTTCTAATGAATCATTGCTGGAATTTTCAAGTAAATATTTGGATAGTAGTGGTTCATGAATACGTAACACTAAGATTTTCTTGTATTTTTTCCTTTAAAGAATACTCAGATGAGAATAATTTTTCTATTAATGTTGAGAAAGAAGCTTGAGTTGTAGGAAAAAAGTGAGAGAATCTGGAATAATTCTTCCACTAAGAAAGTGCCTGGCAGCAACCACAATACCTGACCAGCTGTCAGTCCTCCGAGACACCTGGGTAGAGTATGGGGTCGAACGTGGGAGGTGGCTGGGAGACAAGCTGGTGCCCACTGGCCGTCATTCCTTCCCCATTTCTGTGCGTGCTAGGTAACCTGAAATTGCAACTGAAGGTGGTTTTAAATTGAAACACACATTGAGACTTTTTGAAAAAGTGCATCAAAATAAAAAATGGGACAGGACTACTATTTCATTGCACTAAGTCCATTTGCCCTCATGTTTTCACTCCCCAAAGGAGGCTGAAAATATGAGACCAAAAAGAGAAATTCATTCATTCACTGAGCATGTGTGCTTGTGTGTTCCATATCCAGCAGTCTAGGAAAGGCTGCTGTGCTCAGCTTCTCCAAGATGTAACCTTTCGTATACTTTATCCTGTAAGGGAAATCATTGAATTCATAGAAATAAGGCTTACTTATATTTCACTTTATTTTTGCAAGTCAGACAGAAAAAGAATTTTTAAAAAAATCATGTATTCCTGTCCTAGAAAGTTAGACTCTTCAGTTTTAAAAGCACAGCGTTAGTTTGAAATGTGTCGATGGTTACAGGAAGAGTTGCTATTACTCTCTTCTGGGTGTTTAGTCAGGACAAGGATTAAATAGATGTCTGACTGAAGCAACAGTAAGGACCTAGTGGATGGTTATTGTGTCTGTAGCGTGATTCCCAAATTGCTAAGAGTTACGAAGTATGTTTCTATTAAGCAGTCGATGTTCATCCTTTGGCTTTGAATGGTTAGCGTGAATTAATCGTTATTCTTTTCCGTATTTTTAAAAGCAATGCTAGAAGACAGAAGGGATTGGAGTCATCTCTTGCTGTGTGAACGTGCATAGAGTGTTAGCTAGGATATCAGTTCTCTTAACTAAAAATATATTCCTTTTATTGTTGCTCTGATGAGTCTTGGCAATCATGTGAGATTTCTCCCTCTCTCCTTAGCATTAATCAGCCCCTGTGCAGGAAAGCCTTTGAGTCATCAGTGTGGTACTCTAAGTCCATAGTTGCCATACTTTTGTACGCTGTGGCAGTGCTGTGAGTGGTGGGGAACACCCGCATTCCCTGTTTCAGATGAGGGGAGACATTTGATCTTCCCTGCTGTTGTGTTTGTTTACCAATCCAGGCGAGCTATTTATTCTTTATGGAGTTGTGGGTTTGGAGTCCGTATGTGAGGCACTACAACTTTTAATATGTCAGGAATAATGATTTCTCTTGTCTACAGAATGTGTTACAACATTCATAGTTTTTTTTTTTTTTTTTTGCTTTATTCCATTTGAGCCCCATAACAACTCTGCAGAAAAAGGAAAGTAGGCAGGGTGGGCAGTAATGACCTCATTTTAGACATGAGTCAATAGAGTCTTAGAGATCAGCATACTGATCAAAATACTGGCTGCAGTTAATATTTAGTTTCAATAGAAGGCCACTTTGCCGAGACCAGCATCTGGGTCTTGCTGTGCCATGTTCTTTCCACTGCATTTAACTTGATCTATATCTTTTAATGTAAGCATCTAAACTCCTTTTCTTCGGATTACAGAACTTGAAAGGCACAGATTATGCCTCACAGTGGGAGCTTTGATCAAAGGCACTTACATATTCCTTTATTAGTCGGAGCAGATTACTTGTTGTAGTGAGTGTCTTTTTTATGTCTATCATTTACCCGGTAGATGAAGGAAAAGCAAAGCTGACTGCTTCCTGTTGCAGGCCCAGGCCGATGCTCATCAGAATCTTTCTCACCCAAACTGTCAGCCAACTGACCCTTAAATAGCACAGCACCTTTGGTCTCCAGTTCCTAACTGCATCGTGAAAAGAAAGGGAGAAGGAGAAAGGGGAGGGAAGGAAAAGGAAGAGAAGAGGGAGAAAAAGAACTGGAATGGAGTGAAGAAGGGTTTGACTTTCTATAGTGTTGATATGTATCCTAGCTCTGAGAGCTGAGAGCTGGTTTTTACCCGGGTGGAGACAACTCATGGGTGGTGCTGGTTGAGATGCGAGTCGGGGTAATACTCGCTTCACATTCCCCACTTGAGCAAAGGCGGTTTGAGAACAGTCTTACTAAGCTATTTTAGTAAATCCACCCAGTTTGCAGTATGCCAGTCTTTGCTCATATTGGTATTTATTACCATATTGCTCACACTGGTATTTCCTTTGTGATGATGGATGGCTCCTCTCTCTGAATACATAAAGTGGCCCATTCAGTCCATGATTTATTCTTTCGTTATTCTACCTACTGCTTTAAAATACATTCAGATAAAAAGACATAAGTTCCTTGCAGCGAGTGCACACATACAACAACGAGGAGAGTTGAAAACATAATTAACCAACTCCCTCGTGCTCAGAGAATAAATAGTTTGAAATTGTGGGTCCGAAGCTTGCTCCTGGGGACTAGCTCAAAGTGTCTTCGGTGGACATGAGGTTACACTCACTTGACTGAAGTACACATATTTTGCCAAGGGGAGGAGGGAACGGGGGATGAGTATGCTTTTGCTCAATATGCTTTTGCACCATATTTTAAATTTCCAGCACCCCCACCTCCCTGCAGCATTTGCTCCTTCTCTCTGGTTTATTCTTATTCCTTAGCTTGCACATATTCTACAGAGTTGTTGATTATCTCTCCTCCACTAGCATGTGAGCTCCTTCAGAAGGGATTTGCATCTGTCGAGTTTACTGCTGTGTCTCCAACAGAGAGGACAGAGAAACATGCATGGTGGACACTCCGTGTGTATATGCTGGGCCAGTAAATGAGTCTTTGTCAGTAAGAAACCACCAAACCATAGTATATATTTCACATGGGGACATAGACATTTAAGAATCTTTAAGATCTGGAATAATTCACAACAAAAACCTAACAGTGGTAATATCTAGTTAATTGTTTTGAGATGATAGTCAAATGGAATTTTAGCTTATATCTATGTTTAGAAGACAAATGTATTCATACATTACTTCTGTAACTAAAAATGATTTTTAGAATTTGTGACTGCTACATAAATACTTTAAGTAGAATATTATATAAGGTGAAATTAATTATTTTAAGCATTTGTGAAAAAACTGTAAATTACACTGGCTGTTTTTGTCTAAAGCTATTTTGCTTTCAAATAATACTTCACCTATTGTGTATTTTACACCACTAGCCCTTACTTCTCAAAGGAATCTGCAGACTTCTTTCACGTGATTCGAACTGGTAACCACTGGAAGACTCATCCGTGTTGCTATTTGCTTAACGTACTCAGCATTGCTGCTTTGACATAAGGTGGTCTTATGTTGAAGAAAAGTGAAGTAAGATTAGGACGAGGTGGTGGCTGGAAAGGAGTCCCACTTGGTGGT